GTTTGCTCTGCGTTCCCGTGAGAAAGGACAACCGGTCCTGGGGAGGTGCTGGTGAGGGGAACGCGCCCGTTTGCTGCGAGGGGGGACCTCGATGGTGAAGCGGGGGGGTGGCTCCGGGCCCTGGAGAGGTCAGTCAGTAGCTGGGCGGGCTTTTAGGAGCTGGTTGTCTGCTCGCGGTTAGTTGCAAGCTAATTTGGAAGAGAAACGGCAATAAAGTCAAAAGTGAGCAAAACCAGCTTTTAAACTCGCTTGTGTGGGGGAAATACATCTTCTTGAAACGTGCTATGTCTGTGGAAGAAAACAGCAAGCAGGCTTTGTATCTAGAGCTGACTGGTGTGAAACAGAAGAAATGTTGTCTGTAGTCGATCTATGGTCCACTGTTTCCCTCTGAAAACGCTGGAATTGGTTCTCCTGCCTGTCACTTGAAGATCAAGCCACTCTTCCCCCTTTTTTGAGCCTGAGTTTTTCAGTTTTGTTACCAGTGCTTGAACTGAACCAGTTGAATACCCTCAGAAGAAGGAAACGGTGTTCCTGTAAGGTGTGTGTGCAGAAGAGCTTACTCCCATCAGAAGTTAATTTAGTGTTACAAATTAATCTTTGACTTTTTTTTATTAACCCAATCACTGGTTAGGCTTTCTTCAAATCGTTAATGCTAAATGTGTATTTATCAGCAAATACCTCGTGCTGCTTTAGTAGGTTACAGTTAGTGTGCACTCTAATGTAGTTTTACATAATTCAAAGTGGAATTCTAAATAGGATTTTAAAGAAAAAAAAAAACTTCAGTCCACTTTCAGATAGCAATCTGAGTGTGAAACTTTCTTCTTTGCTGTTTACGGTTATTGTCACTTTAGCATACATTCAGAGAGGACGATGTCCAGCGTGTCTGTGGCTGTGGTGACTGGGTCCAACAAAGGGATCGGATTAGCAATTGTGCGGGCTCTGTGCAAGCAGTTCCCAGGAGATGTGTACCTGACAGCCCGAGACCCCGGCCGTGGCCAGGAAGCAGTGGCAAAGCTCCAGGAGGAAGGGCTGCGTGCACTCTTCCATCAGCTGGATATCGATGATCTGCAGAGCATCAGAGCTTTCCGTGACTTCCTGAAGGAGAAGTATGGAGGGCTGAACGTGCTGGTTAACAACGCAGGGATCGCTTTCAAAGGTAGGAAGTGGACTGTCTGAGATAGTCCTCTGTGCTACAAAGCTGTGTAAAGATAGTAGATCATAGAATGGTTAAGGTTGGAAGGGACCTCAAAGATCATCTAGTTCTAACTCCCCTGCCATGGGCAGGGACACCTTCCCCTAGATCAGGTTGCTCAAAGCCTCATCCAACCTGGCCTTGAACACTTCCAGGGTTGGGGCATCTCCAGCTTCTCTGGGCAACCTGTTCCAGTGCTTTACCACCTTCAGATTGAAAAACTTCTTCCTTATATCCAATCTAAATCTACCCTCTTTCAGTTTAAATCCATTGCCCCTTGTCTTATCACTACATGCCCTTGTAAAAAGTCCCTCTCCAGCTTTCCTGTATGCCTCCATTAGGTACTGGAAGGCTGCAATAAGATCACTCCGGAGCCTTCTCTTCTCCAGGCTGAACAACCCCAACTCTCTCAGCCTGTTAAGATGCATCAAAGATTTTACAAAGCTACTTCTGAGCCAATGGCATGCTGCCTTTTTGGCTGGGCAAGCTGCCTACCCTCTTAAGCCTGAGGAGAGGGCAATGTGAAATGGCTCTTCTTCTAGGATCTATTGGGCTACCTATGTGTGTAAAGATGCTTCCCTGGAGTATTGTATTGCATCACATACAGAGCATGAAAATACTTTGCTCATGTGCACTGTGTGCCTAGAGTTGGGTTATTGCTTTAGTGCACACAAGTTTCACTGGGGCCATGGGAGCCCATCGCCTGTGTGAATATCAAACGTGTTCCTTGGGGATCTGTGTTTTCTCTCTTCTGCAAGCCTCATACTTTTTTATGAGTTACCTGCTCAAGGATTCCAGTTGATAAAAAAGAACCTTTGGCCCTGGGTTGTTTATCATCTTTACTTTTCTTTTACTTTCTCAAGCCATTCAGTTACCTGTAGAACAGTTAACCTAAATCTTGCTGTGTTGAGCAAGAATTTAACCCTTTCATCTTCCAGTGGACAGGGAGGCGCAGGGAAAGTGAGAAAGTCACAGCAGCTGTAGGGTAGAAGAGTGCATTCTCCTTGTAGGTGTTTATAAAACAAGTGGAGAATCATATTAGCTCCAGATAGAGCAAATCACAAGCATGACTACTAGTTCTTTTGCCTGCCAGTACGTATTTGTTCTTTCCGTATTTTTGGGTTTTTTTTTCTTTTTTTTTGTTGTTGTTTTGTTTTTTGTGTTTTCTAATCTCTTAGCCTCATCTCCGGTTAGGACATGTAACTATTCAAGCGCAGTGTTTTGCTGACTCATCTACTCACAGCATAAGTTAAGGAGGCCTGCTAAGTAGTATGGATCAAACATCACCTGCTGCTGAAGATGGAGCTTCTCCTGTCGTGACAGTGCAGCAGTGGTGTTCTCAAGTCCTGTCACTGTACAGTTTGCATGGTGCTTTTCAGGAAGATGGCTTATGTTCAAGATCGGCTTAATAGGAGGCAACTCAATACAATTGTCTGAGCTTCAGGGTGTGCTCAAGACATAGAGGTGTTAAAACCTTGGAGAAGCATTTAAGAGTTTGTATCTCTGTCTGTGCTTGTCATTTTTAAAGCCTGTAGGTGCTCTGGCTCAGACCAGTATTTCTTCAATTCATAATCAGGGCCTTAGCTCAACCTACTAGAAACAGTGAGTTTGAGCAAGACTGTCACTGCAACTACAGCAGCTGAAGTGCAGTGTGTGTTTCCTCTTGCTAACTTTGCAGCAGCTGTTGCCTCCATCAAGGTGGGTACCTGGACAGGTGAAATAAAAGCTCCTCAAATTGCTGCAGCAAGATTTCCTAGAGCTCATCTATGAGAGAGCTTAGGTTTATTATCATGGAGCCTCTGAACAGATGGATAGGTAAAACAGTGTGACCAGTGGAGTTCTGTTACTTCCTTTACTACATGATAGATGTAGTAACATGAAGTTGCTTCCAAATGTTTAGCCTTGACTTGTTTCAATCTGACCAGTCACTATGAGTCAGCAGTAGCTCATACAATTAAGAAATGTGATAGAGGAGTCATTTGTAACTGTTGCGTGAGGATCTAGCACAGAGGCTAGAGGGCTTAACACCTGTGTAAGAACTAGATGTTTAGCCTTGACTTTCTTCAAGCTGATAACTCACCATGAGTCAGCAGTAGCTCATACAATTAAGAAATGTGATAGAGGAGCCATTTGTAACTGTTGTGTAAGGATCTAGCACAGAGGCTAGAGGGTTTAACAGCTGTGTAAGAACTTGCTGTGATGCTTATCTCCTCTTCTGGCATTAATTCTTGCTTCTGAGATTGGCGGTTCTACCCAAGCTTGCTTCTGGCCCCGCCAGGTCTCTGCTACCATGCCAGAATTTATGCATTCCTTTCTTTATTCTAGTACTGTGCAACGTTTCTGTCTGTCAAAGATTAGATTTACCATTTAAATTTAATTTATTCTTCAGGTTTTGTGCTGCACTACAGATAGTGCAGCAAAAACTGTTCATGTATGAAATGGTTATGTGCCTGTGGGTTGTGTTCTGGATGCACTTCTATGAGAACAGTCATTCTAGTATATATCTATCGGATGTTACAAGTAATACATCTTGTTAGACAAATGAGTGGGTTTTGGAGTGCGGGAGCTTCTCTCTTGCAAGGTAGATATGGAAGCAGGAGTTTGGAGTTGTGCAGGTTCTTAGTTTCTTTTCTTCTGCTATCATAACTCTTGCAATACATCATGGTCTGGCTTCATGTCTCAGATTTAAATGCAGGCAAGTGATTTGCAAAACTTGATGAAATTGGTGCCCATTGTTCGAGAGTATAAGTAAGTCAGCCATAAAAGCTGTGTTTTACAATAAGAACACAACTACATTAAATACTAAATGGCCTGTTACTGCTTTTCTCCTGTGTTTACCTATAGGTCTGGGCTACGGAGACAAGCAAAGACCTTCCTAATCTGTGTAGGTGGCCTTCATCACTGCAG